CACACACACACACACACACACACACACACACACACACTTGCACCTATACTAAAAATTAATACTCGCACATCACCCACGAGCATACACATCAACGGATGAGCAAAATAGACGTCATGCATCATGTTACAGTAACTGCACTTAAAAGCTTACAATCATTGCTCTCTTTTCTAAAAAGATCTCTGACAGTCACAAAACAAAACTGAGCTGTTGTAAAAATAAAGTCGAAATACCTGGTCTCACATCTCCGAAATCAGTGGGTCAAAGAGATGCTCGGAGTTCCTCTGTCTCCATGCCGCGCTTCGTTCCACTCTCGCCCCCCTCCCTCTGCCCTTCACAATTCCCAGTGTGTACGAGACGAGTCTCGTCAACAGAAAACCACAGGGCAGCACGCTAACTCAGCTCACGTCGAGAAGTCCGGTCAGTTCTGAAGGAAGTAGAAAGAGTTAGATTTTTAAAAGAGTTTTACGGCATTTGCAACACAATAGGGTCATAAAAGTGTCAAAGATTAGAGTGTTTAGTTTAGTAAGAGTTTAACGGCACTTGCAACACAATAAGGTCATATCAATACTGAGGAATAGATGTTTTACAAGAGAGTAACATACACAAAAACGGAGGGGAGAAAAGGACGATAGATGTTTGATAGGAAAAAAGGAGCGAACCGCACCAGAACACCAGCCAACCACCCACGTTGAAGATTAAAGGTGTTACAAGAGAGTAACAAACATAAAAAGAAAGAAGGAGCGAACCACACCAGAACACTCGCCATCCATCTCACGAGGTGAAAGAAAAGATATGCTTGTAAAGTCATCATTTGTCATTGTATTAGTTTAAGGCTCATTTAAACACTAATTTAACTAACATCAATCTCTCATCAGACCGAACGAAAGCAACAGAAAGCAGTTCAGAACGCCAATTTGCTATTTAGAACCAAGGTCATTTACTCTGAGGTCCAGTATGGTACTAACTGTGCCAGCGGCTTGATCCTTCTTGTAAAGTGAACAGGAGGAAAGGGGGGAGGGG